AACCATGCGATAAGCAGCCGAATTGCTTAACTGTTTGTGCCACTCAGGGACTCCCTAAAAAAACTGAGTTTTAGTTTTTTTTAATAAAACAATAGCCTCTCCAAAACCTATACACTTAAAAATTTTTAGTTACTGATGGACCACAACTACCACAGCCTCCACCAGACTGAGTCCAGCACAACTAGGTGGTGCCCGGCTACCACTACCAATTGCTCTGACAGGGATCACAATAGAGGGGCCCAGACAGAGCTCGAGAAAAATGTAGAACAAAATTCTAACTCACAAAAAAGGAGCAGACTTACTGGTCAGACAAGAGACTGGAGAAACCCTGAGAGTATGGCCCCCAGATACCCTTTTAACTCAGTACTGAAGTCACTCCTGAGGTTCATCCTTCATCCAAAGATTAGACAGGTACATAAAATAATCATACATGTAGCTCAACTACATATATGAAACTAAATGAGCACATCAGCCCAGGGGCAAGGAAGAGAAGGCTGGAGGGACAGGAAAGCTGGACGAATGGAAATGGGGAACCCAAGGTAAAGAAGGGGAGAGTGTTAACGCTTCACGGGGTTGGCAACCAATGTCACAAAACAATATTAATTGTTTAATGACAAACTAATTTTCTCTCTAAACTTTCATCTAAAGCACAATAATAAAAAATAAAGATTAACATTAAAAAATTTTTAGTTACTCTTCTAAATAACTCAAAACTAAAACTACAAACTACTTAGAAATGGAAGAGTAGGAGCACTGTATTTCAAATTTGTGAGATACGTTGATCAATGCCAAAGGAAAATTCAGAGCCTAAAATTTTTTATTAAAAAAAGATTTATAATAAACTAGTAAATTAGAAAAAGAACATCAAAATAACTTCAAAATATGAAGGAATACATTTATAAGACTAAATCAGAAATTAATAAAATATTAAAACCAAAATAGATTTGATCAACAAACCCTAAAGCTGATTCTTTAAGAAGACCAATAAATAGACAAACCTTCGTTAAATCTGTTAAAGAAAAAAATACACAACATAGAAATTAGAAGAGCAACATAATTACAGACATGGAGATGATTTTTAGAATTACAGAGAGTATTAGGAACAAATGTATGCCAACATATTGGAAAATCTAGATGAAGTGGGTGATTTTCTAGGAAAATATAAATAACAAAAATTGTCTTAAGAAAATAAAAATAAGTTAACCACAATAAAAATTGAAAAGGTAGGTAAATTTTTAGCCCTAAGAAAGACCCAAGATGCAATATTTTTATTTGTCAGGTCTACCAAAACATCAAGGAATAGATTGTTTCTATGTTATGTAAGCTTTTCTAGGAAGACAAGGAAGTGGAAAACCTCCCCATTCCTCTTGTAAGAGTAACATAAGCCTAAAACAAGTAAGGAAAAAAAAAAAAGAAGTATAACTATGGAAATGAGTAGACGTAACTGTCATTGTTTACAAGCTTATCCAAGTAGAAAATCAAAGCAAATCAACTAAAAAGACTTCATAACCATTAATAGGATCAGCAGGGCAGACAATTAACAAAGAACAACAGTTACATTCCTCAACTGGTAATAACTAATTAGTAAATATAATAGGCAAGATCACATCCTCTCTATCACTTTTTCTAGTCAACATTATATAGCAAGTTTTATCCAATGCAATAAGAAAAATAAATAAGAATTGGAAAAAAAAGAAACAAAATTGTCTTTATTTGCCACAAAAAAGATTGCCTATATAGAATAGCCAAGAGAAACTACAGATTATTAGAACTAATAAGAGAATTTAGCAAGTTTTCTGTATATGAAATCAATCGCATTCCCTCTACATCTAAATCAAACAGAAAATACAACTTTTAAAATATACCATTTACGATAGCAACAAATAAGATACCTAGGAATAAATCTAACAAAAGATATATATGGATAAATTATAAAACTTTAATGAAGACACTAAATAAGATCTAAATAAAGGAATATACCATGTTCATGGCTGGGAGACTTAATATCATAAAGATGTCAGGATTCCTGAGTTAATTTATATTTTAATATAACTCCAGTAAAACTCTCAACAGAATTATTCATGGATCTTGACAAGCTGATTCTAATGTGTCTACGAATTAAAAAAAGAAATGAATAACAAGACTTTTTTTTTTTTTTTTTTTTTTTTACTTTAAAGAACAAATTTATTTTCTCATAGTTTAGGAGGCTAGAAGTCTGAATTCAGGGTACATCTCTAAGGGGAGGTCCTTCCTTGTCTATTTCAGCTTATAGTAGCTGTCACCAATCCCTGGAGTCCCTAGGCTTGTAGATGCACCTGTCTCCATCATCTGTCTTCCTCTTCCCCCTGTGTGTGTATGTCTATGCTGCTCTTTATACAACTCAGAAATGATTAGGTTTAGGATCCACCCTACATTGGTATGACTTCAACTGATTGATTACATTACATTAGATTGCGTTGTGGAAAGTGATTACATTACATTACATGAAACTGAAACCAAACCAAACCAGTTTCCTTGGAGTCAGTTCTGACTCATGGCAACCCCATGCATGCAGAGTAGAACTGCTACATACAGTTTTCAAGGCTGTGACCTTTTGGAAGTAGATCGCCAGGCCTTTCTTCCAAGGTGCCTCTGGGTGGGTTTGGAGCACCAATCTTTCAGTTAGCAGTCGAGTGTTTTACCGTTGGGCCATCCAGGGATTCCTACATTACATTAGTTGTAAGGTCATTACATTACATTAGATTGCATCCATAGGTATAGGGGCTAAGATTCCAGCACATATTTTGGGGGGACACAATTCAATCCTGAACACGCAGATAACTCCTCTAAGAAAGATTCGGTGGTTATGTCTGCATTTGGTTTCTTTTATAATGACTCCAGTGGGTAAAGCACCCAGTGAATTGTGATCTGGGACACCCACTGTCTCCTGCACTTCAATGGAAAGAAAATGGGGGAAAACAGTATTTCTTTCACTGTGTTCATAAAACTTTAATAAAACAGTGGAATGTTACCCTTCTATCCAGCCCCCTCATCCAGCTGGTATACACCAGCATGGCTATCCTGGTTGTTACAATTTTGGCATATTTGCTCATCTGTTGTTAAAAGTGGTTCCCCTGAGCCCCCTGTGTGGGCTCTGCAGGCAGAGGCCTATCTGGGGCCAGGTTGTGGGTGGGGTAGGGCATGTGCCCTGGGCGTTGCATGCGTGCCCTGGTGCAGCTTGAGGCAGGGCGCCAATGAGCAGTTTCTATTGGCCATCACAATTTCCATCACCCACTGTGAGAGATCATTCAGCAATTTAACACTAATTACCCTAGGCCTTATTTTCTGTAGATAGGTCCCTGACTCAGGCCCTTCTCTGACACCTTCCAGCTGGCTCCCCAACCCAGCAGCCAAAGGACTAATGCCTGCCTTAAACCAGGGCTGCCTGCTCTGCCCCAACCAGGCTGGCATTGATTCCAGTTGATTGGCACCTGGGCCATACTGACAACCAAGACAATTTTGAAGAATAACAAGCTGAAAGAATTCACTTTGTGAGAGAGCAAGACTTACTATAAAGCTATAGTAATTAAAACAACGTGGTACACTGGTACCAAAGATAGACAAATACACCAGTGGAATAGAACAGAAAGCCAAAAACAAGACCCACGCATCTATGCAAATACAATTTATGTCAGAAGAATTATTTCAAATCAGTAGGCAAAGATATGCTATTTAATAAATAATATTAATAAAATAAGTTATCTATACCCAAGAAGCTCTCATGGCACAGTGGTTAAGAACTACAGCTGCTAACCAAAAGGTCTGCAGTTCAAAGCCACCAGCCGCTCCTTGGAAACCCTATGGGACAGTTCTGAGTCACTATGAGTCGGAAGGGACTTGACAGCAATTGGTTTATACAAAAAAATATAAAATTGTATTTCTATCTCACATTGAACACAGAAATAAATTCCAGATTAATGGGTTACTGTGAAAAGCCAAACTTTAGAAGATCATGTGAGAGAATACCTTCATGACTTAGAACAGAGAAAGATTTTTTAAACAAGAAGAAGAAAACACAAAACATAGAGGAAAAGCTGTAAATTTGAGTACATTAAAATGTAAAACTTTGATGCATCAAAATATCCCATAAATAAAGCTAAAAGATAAGCTGGCTGGAAGAGGTACTTGCAATGCATGTAACTGACAAAGGATTGAGATAAAGAATATATAGTTTTAAAATCCTAGAAGTGACCAAAACAAACAACCCATGAAACAAAACAGGCAAAAATATGAACACACAATTCAAAAGAAGATGAAATCAAAATTCTCAACCCACTAATAAGGGAAATCCCAATTAAAACAACAATGAAAAATAATTTCACACCCATCATATGAGCAACATTTTTAAAGGTCACTAATATCCAAGTGTTGAGGAGGCTGTAGAGCAATGGCATTTCTCCTACACTCGTCGTAGGAGTATAAATTGGGAAAGCATTTGAGGAGCAAGCAATACCTAGTAAAAATGAAGACACATGTACCTTCAATGGTGCAATTCCACTTCTAAGCTGATACCCAAGACACGGACCTGCATATTCATTGCAGTATTATTTGTAATAGCAAAAAAAAAAAAAAAAAAAATTGAAACAAATATCCAATAACAGGAGGATGGATTTTAAAAAACGGTATATTCATAGAATATTGTCTTATACAGCAGTTAAAATTAATGAACTACAGCCAAATACATCAAAATGGCTAAATCTCAAAAACAACATGGACTGCAAAAACAGCAAGTTTGCAGAAAAGGTACAGTCTGTTACTATTTACATAAAGTTTTAAAACCATGCTATATATTTTTGTATTTAGTAAATGTACCAGAATATTCAGGGAACAATAAATACCAAACTCAATTTAGTAGAAGGGAAGAGAAAGGAATTTGAGAGGGGTCCAGAGGATGCCTTGATTGTTTCAGTCACTTGAGGTTGGCTACATGGGTGTCAGGTTCTCTCGTCTCTCTCCCCCAGGTGTGCCACAGGGGAGGCTTGGCAGGACATCATGCTGGCCTGCATGCCAGGCAAGAAGTGTGCCCCAGAGTCTGAGCCCAGCAACAGCACAGAAGGGGAAACGCCTTGTGGCAGCAGCTTTGCGGTTTTCTACTTCATCAGCTTTTACATGCTCTGTGCCTTCCTGGTAAGCTGCGGTAGGACTCATCAGCCATAGGGAATGAGGGTACATTTTCAGGACAGCTCCAGCCCTTTTCTCTGCAGCTCGTGGTCAGGGCAACCTCGTCTAAGGAGCTGACTTGGGAAGACTAAGTCAATAGGAGTGTCCAGCCACACTAAGGGCAGAAGACCCTGGCCAGAGCCCAGAAAGCCCAACTACCATCTTGCTTGTCCATTCTTTGGCCCTTGTCATGGTGGCAGTGTCCCAGAGGGCAGGGGAATGTGTATGTATAGAACGCTGGAGGGAATTTATTCTCTTTTGGCCTTTTATTGAGAAGTGAGGAAAAGGTGGTAGATGAAGTCACTCTCTGTTCTTGGCAGCCCTTCCCAGCAGCATGGTATGAGGGAAGCTGTCCAGCCTGTATGGAGGGTTCATCACTCACAACTCCAAGGCGAGCTGTGTCAAGTTTATATCCAAGAGACCCACGTTCCAGGAGCTGGTGTTTTAAATGATGATCTATTGGTCTTTGGAAATACTGACATCTGCCATTCATTGGCAGCAGTTGGCAAAGTGGATTCAAGTGTCAAGTGTGTAGGAAGGTCCTCTTAGAACACCTCCTGTACTCTCTGCAGATCATCAACCTCTTTGTAGCTGTCATCATGGACAACTTTGACTACCTGACAAGGGACTGGTCCATCCTTGGTCCCCACCATCTGGATGAATTTAAAAGAATCTGGGCAGAGTATGACCCTGAAGCCAAGTAAGTTCCCGGAAGGAAATCTTGATTAGGCAATTGAGTGGCCCTACCTGTAGGAGAGGTGCAAGAAGGGTCAACATTGGGTGGATCAGTCTGAAACACTGAATTGCCATCAGACCCCAGGGTGAAGGGTCAAGGGCCAGTAAAGAAGGTCAGGCACCGTTGACTAAGTCATGAACCATAACTGTTATCATCAGTGGATAAAACCCACTGCCGTTGAGTCAATTCCGACTCATAGTGACCCTATAGGACAGAATAGAACTGCCCCATAGGGTTTCCATGGAGTACCTGCTAGATTTGAACTGCCAACCCTTTGGTTAGCAGCCTGAGCTCTTAACCACTACGCCACCAGGGTTTCCTTTCAGTGGATAGGAGACCTCAATGCCAGGAATAACTAGTGAGCACTCAAGTTAGAACATTTAGGGCTGGGCATATCTTGACTCCATTCCTGCCTGTGGTCCAAGGATACCCTGATCAATCTATCATATTTGGCTGACACTCAGTAAATACCTCTTGGTCATATGGTGGTTGATTGAAGCAGAAGTACATGTTGAGAACCACAGTGCACTATAAAATCCCTTCTACCTTGAACATAGCACCAATGGAAAATTGCTCATTAAAATCTAAACACATGTATGTTGATTTTAGCGTTGTACCATGCAGTTCTACAGCTCTGCACCACGTGTGTCTAACAGGCTACAGCTCTAACGAGTTTCCCTCTGTGGGTGGACCCCCACCTCTCAGTTGCATGAGTCCTAGACTGCATAGCCATTAGACTGTGACCCTCTGACTGCCCTTTCCTCCTGACCTTCCTCTTCTAGGGGTCGGATCAAACACCTAGATGTGGTGACCCTACTCCGGCGGATTCAACCCCCACTGGGTTTTGGGAAGCTCTGTCCTCACCGCGTGGCTTGCAAAGTAAGAGATGACCTGGGTTCAAGGGGAAAAGAGAGACAAGATAGGAGGCAAGACACCTATTTTCTTGTGACCTTGGTCAGGCCACTGATCCTTTCAGGGAATGAAGATAACATTTTATGTCTGAAGAAAAGAGAGCCGAGCCAGGTTATATTTTAAGGTTCCTGGCAGCTCTAAGTGCTCAGACTCTGAGGGAACAAAGAGTGAATGCCTCACATCCCCCAGCAAGCCATGTGCCCAATCCTGAATAAAGGACCTTGTTCAGAGTGGAACTTTTCTGCCCCATCAGGCTGCTTCTGGAACAACAGAGAAGACACCACCCAAGCATCCTGGGAGATTTCCCAGCCTAGGATGTATGGGTGAGGGGTTCTTTTCCTGGAGTCAGGAGCCATTAGAGAGCCCATGCATTGGCTTCAGGAACTTGTGAAGTCCTAAAGTTGTAGCAAAACCACTGAAACACTCATGAATTTTACTGGGAAGGGGATCCTTCACTTTCAGTCAGATTCCTAAATGAGTCCGTGACCCAAAAAAAGCTTAAGGCAAACACCCTACGTTCTGTTAGACTCAACTCTCGCTCGTATGGCACTTGCACGACCCTACGAGTGAGTGCCTCCTTAAATCGTGTGCCCTTGGTGCCTCTCTTGCCTCTCACCTCTCACCCTAATTCCTGACATGGAGCCCAGCAGTCACTGAAGAGTGTCATTTCCACTTTCTCCCCTTATCTTTCAATTGCCATCTCACCCCTGTGCTTGCCATTCTGTGCCCCCTGTTGGAATAGTAATGAGCTGAAACAGAGTTGGGAGGAGTTGAGGTCAGAGAGCCTTATAGAGGAAGAAACACAAATGGCAGAAAGATTCTGCTCTGTGGGTAATCCACTCATGGAAAATAGAGAATCGAAGGTATAGAGAACCTTCTACTTGTGCTCTGTTATGCTCTGTTTTTCCTCTTTTGTACCTCCACTTTGTTCCAAGAAAAGTTTAGATTTCCAAGAGTATAGAAAATATGCAGAAGGGGAAAAGAGAACAAATTAAAAGTGAGGTAAAAGCACAATGGAAAGCAAGGGCGGGGACGAGTGCAGCCAGAATAGGGCTGAAATACATCCTGTGGTGTCTGACAGAAGGACTTTCAGTTCTCTGATGGCCTCTTTGGAAAGAGAAACTTTGACAGTTATACAATTCACACTGTCCATGAGATTCAAAAAGATCCAGTCACTCAGGGAAAGCATAACCCTTCTTGGCACTAAGATTAACAGGAGGATACCATGTGATCTAATGAGTACCATCCGTGACCACGTCTTCAAATAGATGTCACAACGAGTTTCATGGTGCTCTTTCTTATAATGACTCCAGAGTGGGCTGATGGGACCACACTTTGCAAAACGAAAGCTAATTGTGGTGGTAGGACAGGAGGGAAAGGGGAATACAATACTATCTAGTGTCAGCTAGCATCTGCTCCAGCTTGGTGCATAAGTAATGTTTTCAGATCTATAGGGAATGTATATTTTCGATGTGCAAGCAAACCTCTGGTTATTGTTTCCCTTATCTGGGCTGTTGATGAATGCTGACTGGCAAGTGAGCACCCATCTACTGCCTGGTATGCAGCTGTTCTTTGTTGCCAGTAGGGAGGGAGCAGCCCCATATGCCTATAGCAGACATTTGAACAGGCGGGGAGGTGGGGGAGTGGGTTTAACATCCTTTCATGGAATCGAAGGTCTAAAGAGGACAAATGCTATTCCTCCCCCACTCTACAGAGAGGGCGGGAGTAGATAAGGCAAAGCCAAGATTCCCCCACCCCCACCCCACCCCCGTCACCCACCAGAAAGGTTTTGAATGCATTTCAGTGACCTAAGCTTCCTACCCTACCTGCTCCCAACACACCCACACAACACCCACAGGAGCTGGAGGCCCCCTCCCAGTACTCTCCTGCCTCGGTGGTTGTGTGGGCCCTGTGAGAAATGTTTGCTGTAGTCACTGGCTTTGCCTCCCCTCCCCTGCAGCGCCTGGTCTCCATGAACATGCCTCTAAACAGTGATGGGACGGTCATGTTCAATGCCACCCTGTTTGCCCTGGTGAGGACAGCTCTGAGGATCAAAACAGAAGGTAAGGGTCATCTGCAAGCCCTTGTGACAGCTGCTCAGGAGACCTAGCAGACGAACCAGAGAGGGAGCCTGTGAAGTGCTGTCAGTGACTCTCCAGTCTCTACTGTCAGAGCAGTGATACAGGCATAGCGTTCTCATCCAGGAACGTTAGAGGGGCCTGGCCCAGTCAGGCTTTCTTTGTTTCTTGAGTGGCCGCCTTGCTAGAGCCTTATGTATTTTGAATTCGTTTTCCATCAAACCCTGGAAATTTTTCTGAGTGATATCTTGAGGTTCTAGGGTATAACCCATAAAGCAGAAGGAGAGAAGTGTTACCTGAAGCAGAACCAAGCCCCATCTAAATCGAATTTTATTGGCTACAGGTGGGTCTCTCAAATGCTTAACTCCCTGTTTAAAGGCCTTGTGTTGGGAAAGGGACACAGTGGCAAATGATGACTAAGGTCAAGGTCATTGCTTACAGCTGAGCAGACTGCACCTGGCACAAGCGTGCTCAGCCAACCATGGGGAAGAGACAGTGGTGGTAAACCTCACCTGTGCTCTACTTACCAGGTCACGCCCACGGCTTCTCCACCTGGAGGGACTCCGGGACTCCTCCTTCTAGTTTGCACAAAGGTGCCCTACAGCTAGCAGCAGCCTTGGCTAAGATAACCTATTGTCCTTATAATGGAAAAGTATTTCTGAATCACTTTGTGGAAGGGCTTTATAATATATCCCTGGGTGGTACAAATGGTTAAGCGCTTGACTCCTAGCTGAAAGGTTGGCTATTTGAACCCATCCAGAGGCGCCTTGGAAGACAGCCCTGGCGATCTGCAGCCAAAAGGTCAAAGCCTTAAAAACCCTATGGAGCAGTTGTACTCTGCGCACGTGGGGTCTCCATGAGTCAGAATCTACTCAACCGCAAATAGCAACAAGAAGATGCAATCCCTGCTTTCCAAGAACTTCCAGTCTATTAGTGTTTCTTAGAATGTGGTCAAAAGACCACCTACCTCAAAATCAGCTGTTGGAACTTGTTTAAAATGCTGCATCCCAAGCACCAGCCCAGATCTACTAACTCAGCATCTCTGGGAGGGGGGCTCAGGACTCTGCATTTTGAACCAGCTGCCTAGATGATTCATATGTGAGCTAAAGTTTGAAACCCAGTGATACAGTAATTAGAGAAAACACAAATAAGACAGGCAGTCTGTTTTCTTTTCCCTTTCTTAAGTTTCAATCTTAGCATCTCAGGCTGCCAGGTGCAGTGTTTTGCTTTAGTTCAACAGAAGGAGCGCTGGGCAGGGAGAGAGAAGGCTTGAATCTGAGTCCTCTTGCTAATACTGTGTGGGATAAGTCCGTTATTCTCTCTGTATTTTGGTTTCTTCATTTATAAACTAAGAAAGGTAGTGACATCTGGGAGTTTAGTTCAGTGAATAACTCATAGAAGTGACTTCTCTCAGTTAAATCCTTTCAGAAATAGGAACACCTGAAATGAAGGAAAAGACGAAGCTGTCCAACAAGATACATGTCAAATTATGAGCCCATCTTAAAAACAAAAATAAAATAGCTCATGTCCTACTGCTAAACTAAAAAGACAGTAAAGGCTAAAAACATGTACCTTCAGTAGCCAGTGCAATAACTCCATCTGAAATAGGTGTAAATAAGCATATTTCTAACTGCCAAAAGAATTGAAGACACATTTAATATGTGTATGTGTGTGTAACATAGAAGAAAAATTGGAAGAAAATTTATTAGCAGGTTGTTATGGATTCAATTATGTCTACCAAAAAGATATGTTGAAGTCCTAACCCCTGGTACCTGTGAGCATGACCTTGTTTGGAAATAGGGTCTTTGAAGATGTTATCAGTTAACATGAGATCATACTGGAGTAGGATGGGTCCTAATTCAGTCTGAGTGGTGTCCTTATAAAAGAGGAGAAGAGACACAGAGAGACAGACAGAGGAAGGACAGCCAGGTGAAGACACATCTACAAGCCAAGGAACACCTGGGGTTACTGGAGGCTGGGAGAGACAAGAAAGGATCTTCCCTAGAGACTTTGGAGGGCACATGGCCCCACTGACACATTGATGTGGACACCTACACTGCTGTTCTTATAAGCCTCGAAGTTTGTGATGTTTTGTTATGGCAACTCTGGGAAACTGATACACATGCTAATATTGGTTATCACAGAGTGGTAGAATCCGCAGTGACTTTGACCCTCTTCCTTTACTTTCGTTACTTTCCAAATTTTCTACAATGAATGTTATTACATTTATGTTCAGGGAGAAGAGGTTTTCTTTTCCAAGGAGAGAAGACGTTATAATGTACTACTAAAAGGAATATGCTGCAATACTATGTTCACTACATCCACAGAGTTTTTTTTGCTATTCACAATAGCAAAAAAATGGAAAGAGCCTAAGCGCCCTTCAGCAAATGAGTGGATAAGCAAAATGTGATACATAACATACAATGGAATACTATGCAATCATAAAGAACTATGATGAGTCTGAGAAACATATTATAATATGGATGGATCTGGAGGACATAATGCTACGTGAGATAAGTCAACCACATAAGGACAAATATTGTGTGATACCATTTTCATAAGAAGACAAGAATACATACATATACAGAGACCAATATTCATTGGTGGTTACCAGGAATGGGGGTGTGGGCAGGGAGTCACTCTCCAGATTGTAGATACTTATTATTTTTGGTGATAGGAAAAGTAGCACAGAATGTGGGTGTAATGAGCACAGACTGACCAAAGTAAATGATGCCACTAAAAAGTACACAAGAGAAAAGGACTTTTGTGCTAAAGAATATGACATATATAATTTGGCAACAACACTAACAATAACCAAAAAATGAGTGTCTGGTCACATATGTAGGTGTATAGGCATATATGTGTATGGGTAGGTACAGGTGAGTACATACGGGCACACAGATAAAAGTAACTATGTACATGCTAGTAGATATGTGTGTACATTCATATATATTCACAAAGGACACAGTTACTTCTCAAACATAAAAAACTTCTTGCAAGAATAGTTTTCTGAGTTTGAAGGCTTAGGTCCTTAGTATCATGGGACAACTCAGTCAATTGGCACCACAAAGTTCACGTTCTACATCCTAGTGAGGTGAGTAGCATCTGGCGAGCGGCCATCTAAGATACAACTGTTGGCTCTATTCGTTAGAAGCAAAAGAGAAAGAAGGAAACCAAAGTTTCGGGGAAGAAACTAGTCTACAGAGTTAACAGCCTACACGAACCACAGCCTCATCCACCCTGAGACCAGAAGGACTAGATGGTGCCTGGCTACCACTGTGATCAGGCCCACAATAGATGAACCTGGATAGAATGGGAGAAAAACACAACTCAAATTCTTAAAAGTTCAGACTTACTGGACCAGGTGAGACTGGAGGACTCCCTGAGACTATTGCCCTGAAATACTCTTTAAACCTTGAGCTGAAACTATCCCTTGAGGTCACCTTTTAGCCAAACATAAGATTGGCACACAAAATAAAGGATATTACCCATGAGTACAGGGCTCCATTAAAAAAAAATCTATATGAGACCAAAAGGTCAACAATTACTCTAAAGCAAAGATTAGAAGACAAGGGGGGCAGGGAAACTAGAGTACTGGAAAAGGAACAACCAGAATGCAGTTAATGAGAACGTTGACACATTGTGAAAAATGTAACTAATGTCACTGAACCACTTATGTGGAAATTGTCAAATGGGATGGATGGATGGATGGATGATAGATACTGTCAAGTCAACTCCGACTCATGGCAGCTTCACGGATAGCAAAATAAAAGTCGCCTGCATTATCCTCACTGTTGCCAGCATGTTTCAGTCCATTGTGGCAGCTGTTGTGGAAATCCATCTCATCAGAGTTCTCCCTTGCCCTCATTGGCCCTCTGCATTTCACCAGCATGATGTCCTCCTAATTGTGTCCACGGCAAGTGAGTTGGGACAATGTTCTGTTGTAACCCATAGGGTTTTCATTGGCTAATCTTTGGAAGTAGATCACCAGGCCTTTCTTCCTAGTCTGTCTTAGTCTGTAAGCTCTGCTGAAACCTGTCCACCATGGGTGACCCTGCTGGTATTTGAAATACCGGTGGCATAGTTTCCAGCATCATAGTGCTATGCAAGCCACCACAGTACAACATACTGACAGACATGCGGTAGGCAATACTTAAAGCCTGATGTATATTGATAAACCGCATAAAGGAATGAAAAACACTGATGCACCAAAGCCAAGATTCAGCAACGTTTAAGATGCACTGACAGAGCAAACCAAACCTCAGCTAAATACCAATAGCTGATCACAGTACAAAAGGGACTGATCAAAATAGCCAAATACAGACAGCCGGTATTTCTTCCCCAAGAAAAAGGAAGAAGCGAGCAAGTGATGTAGGAACTACAGTCAAGAATGAAAGATAATCTTTTAAACACAAAGACATTGCAGAACAGCCTATCAAAGGGCCTGAGTGCCTCACTAAAGGGCAAGCCTTCATCAGAGACAGGCCCGCCACATACTTGTTAAAATGTTAAGACTGGGAGACAAAGGCCAGTTCTTAGAAGCAACTAGAAAGAAATGTGAGAAAAAGTCAGAATTGTGAGAACAAGATCTGTCTCAGTCCTCACCCTTCAGAGTTTTGAGAGTGGAAAGAAATCAACACCTATTTCAGAGAGCTAGAGCTGTGTCCCAAGTCCAATACCAAGCCAAGCAAACATTCCACTTGGAATTGTGAAATAAAAACAAGTCCAGACTTTGATAGGGAGATGCTTTATTCAGAAAGAAGGGAGGAAATGGACTATTCTCATAGATGGGAGGGGTCTATAGTAACAGGAAGAACACTCTGACCGTAGGCTCTGCACGTGACTGAAAGAATTAGGAAAAAAGAGTTTTCTTTTATGGAGGCAGAGAAAACAAAACCCCAAAACCAAACCCGTTGCCGTCGAGTCGATTCCGACTCATAGTGACCCCCAGGGTAGAACTGCTCCATAGAGTTTCCAAGGAGCGCCTGGTGGATTCGAACTGCTGACCAAAAAACAGCCGTAGCTGTTAACCACTATACCACCAGGGTTTCCAAGACTAGGAAAAACCCAGGTGTAGGGTGAAAGGTGATGTCATCGGATATTAAATCAGAATGTTTTACACTGAGGCCAGCCTCTTGTACAGGAGGGGCCCTTAAAAAGGGATAGTATGTTGGCTCAGGCTGAAGGCGGGCCACAGTTCATGGGCTTGGAGGATGGAGAGAAGCTTAACCAAAGTTTGGTTAACAAGCACTTTGTTTCTGATTGGTCAGTGAGGACAAGCTATTTAGTTACCAATTTATAGGCAAGCAATGGGAATTGGGAGGGTCTGTGTCTGGCCTGAAGGAGCCCTGGTGTCACAGTGGTTAAAGTGCTTGACTGCTAATCAAAACGTCACTGGTTTGAACCCACCAGCTGCTCCAAAGGAGGAAGATGTAGCAATCTGCTTCTGTAAAGATTTACAGCCTTGGAAACCCTATGGGGCAGTTCTACTCTGTCCTATAGGGTCTCTAAGAGTCAGACTCAATGGCAGTGGGTTGGGTTGGGTTTGGTTTTTGGTCTGGCCTTCTCATAGGTAAGCAAGGGGGCATCTGTGAGTCTTATCTAAGTCATATGGGAAGAGTGGTTATTTGCAGTAAACCATTTTCCTGAACACAGAGGGTGGGGGATTTCTTTAACCATCTCTGTTTTCTAGTATCATAGGGCTCAGGTAAAATTCAACATTATCAGAATACAGAAGGAAAATATTTTAAAATACTTAGATGATATGAAACAATTGTCAATAAAGGTCTACAACTGCATAGATTATTATGAAAAATTAAGGCTTGAAAAAATATGAAAGATTCTTTTGGAAGAAAGTGTGTTTGAATATTGTATTAATTAGGAGTGTCTTCTAATGTGTCAGAAAACACTGTCTTAACTATGAAGAGGGCAGTGGTGGTTCAGTGGTAGAATTCTCACCTTCCGTGCTGGAGACCAGGGTTTGATTCCCTGCTGAAGCACCTCACGTGTAGCCACCAACCATCTGTCAGTGGAGGCTTGTGTGTTGGCTATGATGCTGAACAGGTTTCAGCGGAGCTTCCAGACTAAGACAGGCTAGGAAGAAGGGCCTGACCATCTACTTCCAAAATTCAGCTAATGAAAACCTTGTGGATCACAGCAGTCCAATCCCATTGTACATGCAGCAGCGTAACAATACCACCTTAACCATGAAGAGAATTTATTGGCTTCATAACTGGAATGCCCAGGGCTTGCCCTCTGGTTTCAGGTACTGTTGGACCTGATGCTCAAACAGTGAACTCAGGTGTCCTCTAATCCCTCTCCATGACCACTTCTGCTCTCTCCTGCTTGGCTATCCCACATGGCCACAGAGGTGGATCTGAACTCAGGCAGCCTGACCCCAAACCTCCCATCCTCTATTCCGTGCTGTCTATCCTATAGAATAGCATTAAATACCCCTGGTGGCATACTGGTTAAGTGCTACGTCTGCTAACCAAAAGGTTGGCAGTTCAAATTCACCAGGCGCTCCTTGGAAACTCTATGGGGCAGTTCTACTCTGTCCTATAGGGTTGCTATGAGTTGGAATCGACTTGACGGCAACAGGTTTGGTTTTTTTGTTGTTGCTTATATTGTTTTTTTGTTGTTGTTGTTGTTTATGGAGCCCTGGTTGCTCAGTGGTTAAGAGCTCAGCTGCTAACCAAAAGGTTGGCAGTTTGAATCCACCAGCTGCTGCTTGGAAGCCCTATGGGGCAGTTCTATTCTGTCCTGTAGGGTCCACTATGAGTTGGAATTGACTCAATGGCAACAGGTTTTTTGGTGTATTGGTTTTCCATGGCTGCATAACAAATCACCCTAAACTTAGCTTAAAACAACACCATTTATTAGCTCACTGTGCTGTCGGTCAGAAGTCCAGGAGTGGGTTGTATGCCCAGGGCCTCACAAGGCCGAAATCAGGATATTAATCGAGCTGTGTTCTGTTCTGGAGACTGGAGAAAAATCCTCATCCAAGTTCCTTCAGGCTGTTGGCCACAGTTCATTTCCTTGCAGTTGTAGGAGTGGGGTCCTCATCTTCCTGCTCACTGTTGACTGGGACCACTCTGAGCTCCTAGAGGCCGCCTCTCTCCATTGGAGGTACACAACATGGGTGTTTGCTTTCTTCCAGCCCAGCCAAGCCCTTCTCTCTGACTCCCTCTTCTGTTCCCAGATGGAGAGAAGTCTCCGCTTGAAAGGGCTCACGTGATTAAGTCAGGCCCACCTGGAATATCTCCCTATTTTAGGGTCAAATGTGCCATATAACAGAACTTGATCACTGGAGTAAAATACTGTACATCATATTCGCAGTCCCAGGGATTATGTAGGGCATGTACATAGTTAGAGGTGGGTGGATACCTTGGGGGCATCTTTCAATCCAGTTTAACACCTCTCCTCTTATAGCTGCAGGTCTCAGCTTTCCTTTTTCACCTGTGTAAAGCCGGTAACCTGAGGCTGCATGGGACAGGTAGATAATCAAGCCTGTCTTACCAGTGGAGAAACTAAGCCCAGACAGTGCATCAGTCCAAAACAACAGAACCCAGCGTCTTCTGATTTCCTCTTCCACAGTTAGGTTTTATCACCTCCTCCCCAACAGAGCCACCACCCATCTGTCATTTTGTCTTACTGTGGTGACTTGCGTGTTGCTATGATGCTGTAACTATGCCACCGGTATTTCAAATACCAGCAGAGTCACCCTTGATGGACAGTTTTCCCGACTAAGACAGTCTGGAAAGAAAGGCCTGACATTCTACTTCTGAAAATTAGCCAGTGAAAACCCTATGCATCACAGAATGTTGTCCGAGATTTCGACTCACTTAAACGTTTGATGTGTCATCAGGAGGGCCCCATCGCTGGAGAAGAACACCCATATTTGGTAAAGTGGAGGGTCAGCAAAGGCGTGGGAAACCCTCAATGAGATGGATGAACATAATGGCCACAACAATGGACTCAGACATACCGAGGATCGTGAAGATGGTGCAGGACCGGGCAACCTGTTGTTCTGTTGTACATTAAGTTCCCATGAGTCCAGCCAACTTGATGGCACCTAACAATAGCAACCCCTTGGGAACCTCATCACAGCATCCGATGCTCCATTTCGGATTTGCCAGGGGGGATTGTTCTTCTTTTCAGTCATCCCTGTTTCCCTCTGGCAGCCCAAGGAAGTACACGCAGAATGCCACCCAGAGGGAGCAGCCTCCTTATTGCCCGCAAGGCAGAGGAGGTTGTTCAGTGGATGAGTGAGTGGGTGTTGGTGAAGCTGCCCAGAGACCTGCAGCTCAGCCCAGGCACCCACAGTCTCTCCATCAGACCCTCCGTGAGGAAACGCAACATGGGTGGAGTTGACAGGACGCTACTGGCTGGCCTGAGCAACAGGCGGGAGAGAAGGAAAAAGAAATGGAAGTGGACGGGGTGGGGGCAGAAGGGAAGGGGAAAGGAAGTAAAACAGAAAAATATAAAGAGGAAGAGGAAGGAGGTAGACAATGGGAAGACCTGGGAGAAAAGCAGAGAGAAAGAAAGAAAATGAAACTGACTATTAGGGTATTTGTGGGGCAAAGTCTCCTTAGCATTGACTTCCCATTGTATTCAGAGGGATCAGCCTGCTAAGGAGGCCCTCCAAGGGGCTGATGGTAATTTTCAGCTTTGCATCTCCCTTCCGTCAGGGAACCTAGAACAAGCCAATGAGGAGTTGCGGGCAATAATCAAGAAGATCTGGAAGCGGACCAGCATGAAGCTCCTGGACCAAGTGGTGCCCCCCGCAGGTGGTAAGTGCTCCCTGGATTAAGGCTTGTGTTCTTGAGTCCACTGGGCTTGCTGAGCCTGCTTTCTCTAGACCCTCCCTGTGGGACCCAAAGGCCCTATTTGTTAGAAGGGACTAGGGTGCGATGGCCTTTTCAAACTCAGATTCAGACTGTCAGGTTGGAAATCTGGTCCAATCCTGATGTATACAGATGGGTCTAGGCAAGTCCCCTTGATGCTTAGATGTTTGGCAGAACTTTCCAAGGAAATGCCACAAAGTATAGGTTTCCCCATAAACCACTGGGCTGACTGCTCTAGGAATAATGAGGCCCTAAAGGAAGAATCCCATGAGGTCCCCTCTTGGTTGAAATTCTTTTTGTTCTTCCTAGGACAGTGTTTCCCACTCCATCAAGCCCAAAGTCCCTTTCTATAACAAACAGTTTATAATGCCCCTACTACCATCCTGAATGAAAATCATAGATAATATAACCTTCCTATACATATAATTTCCAAGATATTTGTATAATGCTTTAACGCTAATATAAAATATATTAAAATTAAATGTTTTTCAATATATAAAAGCTCAGATACAACTATGGCAGAAGTTATAATTAACTAGTAAAATGCTTGCACACACCTGCTTACAATGAATGAGTTTGTGTTTAAAAGAAGTAAGGAAATGTTGAATATTGTTGACACTTTGTTTTTGGCATTTTGAAGTAAGCCCTAAATACATATATTTAAATATAAGTGTATATACAGTCAAACCTGGGAAAGCAGGGACCTGTGTAAGGTGGAAACCTGTCAGAGAAGGAAAATGCAAATATTTTCCACTAATAAAGAGCAATAGAAAAGTGGTATGACTGCACCCTGTCAAATGTGGAAAACTTGCAGGGCCAGAAAAACAAAGCAGTCCTGTGGAGTCTGGCTGTCACAGGTTTCATTGTACATACATATATGTGTATACGTACACACGTACATAGGATTACCATGACTGTGAGTGACAGCTGCAAATGCAGACTAGTACAGGTGGGTCAGATACAATGGCTGACTCAGATACCACAAAGGGCATTGCCATCAGGGATACAATTTGTTTGGTCAAGTTCAAACAAAACAAAGCACAGTCTTCCTTCAATTTACAAAGCAGTTGTATTCCTGGAAGACTGTACTACGCTAAAACCATGCAAAAAAAAAAATGTTGTGCATTCACTACAGGCGAAGTCAGCACAACTGGACTAAACCAAAGCTAAGAAGTTTCCTGAATACAATCAAATACTTTGAGAGACAGGGTAGCAGGGGTAGGGGTGTGGGGACCATGCTTTCAGGGGACATCTAGGCCAATTGGCATAACAAAGCTTATTAAGAAAATGTTCTGCATCCTACTTCGGTGAGTGGCGTCTGGGGTCTTAAAAGCTTGCAAGTGGCCATCTAAGATGCATCAATTTGTCCCAACCACTTGGAGTAAAGGAGAATGAAGAACACCAAAGACACAAGGGAAGGGTTAGCCCAAGAGACAGAAAGGACCACATAAACCAGAGACTTCATCAGCCTGAGACCAGAAGAACTAGATGGTGCCCAGCTACCACCAATGACCACCCTAACAGGGAACACAACAGAGAGTCCTTGATGGACCAGCAGAAAGATGGGGTGCAGAACTCAAATTCTAGTAAGAAGACCAGACTTAATGGTCAGACTGAGACTGGAGGTACCCCGGAGAGCATGGCCCCTGGATTCTCTATCAGCCCAGAACTAAAACAATTTCCGAGGCCAACTCTTCCGACAGGGATTAGACTGGACTGTGGGACATAAAGTGATACTCGTGAGGAGTGTGCCTCTTAGCTCAATTAGATACTAGAGACCAAAGGGACAGCTTCTGTCCAGAGGTGAGATGGGAAGGCAGAGAGTGTTAGGAGCTGGCTGAGTGGACACGGGGAATCAGGGACGGAAAGGGGGAGTGTGCTGTCGCAGAATGGGGTGAGCAATTAGGGTCACATAACAATGTATGTATAAAAATTTGTATGGGAGACTAATTTGAAATGTAAACTTCATTTAGACTACAACAATAAAAAAATTTTTTTAAATGTTGTGCATTCATATATAAAACAGAGTTAGGTTCTAAGCTCAGGTGATTATGAGCAGGTTGCTCCCCCACATGAACATTTAGTAGGGTGCTTAAAAGCCGTGCAGAGTGCAAAGCTATTATTTGCTGTGTAAAAAAAAAGCCTGTGCTTTGGGAGACACATCTAGCACCACTAAATGCCAATAGCACTCCCAAATCACTGTGACAACTAAACAACGCCCCAGACCTTTCCAGAACACTCTTTAAGAGGTGATACCACCCCTGTTGAGAACCACTGCCCAAAGGGAAAGCATGACTAAGTGAAGAATCACCTAAGTAGGCCAAGTACCCCCTGATGCTTTATGTACACTATTTTATTTAATCCTTACAACCATTGTATGAAGTTTGCTCAAGGAACTAAAATCCTTCGAACATAAGTAGTTGACCCAAGGTCACATGGCACGTACACAGCAGATTCAGAATTCAAACCTAGGTCTGAGGGACTCCGGAACTCCTTGCTCTTTCTACCATGTAGTTCTTTCTCCCTGAGTATACAGGACAGGGGCTCAGGGGTTTTCCCCTCCCCCAGTGAGACCCTTGCAACGTAGAAGGTTCATCTCTGCCATGAATGTGGCTATTCTTAAGGGACAAGTAGGAGCAGGAGAACCATCACAAGCCCTAGATATAATCCAACCAGTTGTCTCCTGGGTGCATTGCCCTCTCCTTACAAAGAACTAGGAGAAGGAGCAGAGGGGCTGCTTGTTGGGCATGGAATGTTCCCCTTGGAAACTTATTGGCTTCTCCACCATCTGGTCCATTCCCAAGACAGAGACTAATTATGTTATGGCTTGTCTTAGAGCCCTGGTGGAGCAGTGGCTAAGAGCTACGCTGAGCTATGGCTGCTAACCAAAAGGTTGGAAGTTCTAATCCACCAGCCACTCCTTGGAAACTCTATAGAACAGTTCTACCGTGTCCTATAGGGTCACTATGAGTCAGAATCTTTTTTATGTCTAGTCTTGGGTGTCAGCCTAGCAGGGACCTAGCCAAACCTCCTGATAAGAAACACGATCTGTCTGGTTTGAAAGAAAAATTCAAACTCAGACAGGAGGAATGTGCTCCCTGCCATGAACCCCTCCCTCCAACTCAAGCAGAACTATATGTGCACTTAGGGAACCCGGCCAGTTTATGAAGAGCGTTTGAAGCTTCGGAATCGAATAAAAGTTAACAGTGTTAGTTAAGTGAAAAAAGCAAGGTGAGAACAAGGTTGGCAATATGCTGCCTTTTCTATAAAATGAGGTGAATAAGAATATGTTTGCTTATGCTTCCATAAAGACTGTCTGGACAAATACTCAAAACACTAATACAAGAGATTGGCCATTGGGAGGTAGTAATTAGCAGAGGATAGGGTAAGAGCAAGACTTCACTGTATAACTTTTTATGTATTTTTCTTTTTGAACCATGTGAATATACTATCTCTTTAAAAATTAAATTAAAAAACTTAAAGTTAGAATACTAAGAAAAAACAATTATTGTTGTCCAACTTAATTCCTGTGCTTACCTCTAATTCCCTTTCCTTTCTTCATATGTCGTAGATGATGAGGTCACGGTTGGCAAGTTTTACGCCACTTTCCTGATCCAAGAGTACTTCCGGAAGTTCAAGAAGCGCAAAGAGCAGGGGCTTGTGGGCAAGCCTTCCCAGAGGAATACCCTGTCCCTTCAGGTGAGGGGCTAGAGGAGGTGTCCACACCCCGAGGAAGTCCAGGTCTTTTCAGAAGGAAACTTTCTGAGCAATCCATGCCTTTTTGAGGGTTATAGGATCCAAGCCTTTCTGAAGGTTATGGGGTGGGAGTAGAGCATGACATACCCCTCTTCCTCCTGCCACCCCTTGCACACATGCTGCCATCCACAGCCCTGCCTGCCTTCATAGAAGCCCTCTAGAGTTCTTGCAAGCTCTCCTGAAGTTCCTGTGGCAGCCCCTGATTCCTGGTGACTCCTCCTAATGTGAATACACATAGTTCTTGGCCTTCATTCCTCCTGCATGGACGAATGGATTTCCAGAGAAGCACGTTGCCTGGCCGTATATACAGATACGCCTTCCTGAGGCTCCCTCCTTGCAGAGAAGCTGAGCCGGGGTGGCTGGGTCCAGGAGCATTGGGCTCCTTGAGGATGAGGCCCTGGCTCTGGGTGATGGCTGACTAGGAGCTATGGTGGAAAAGGACCGGGGCCTCACTTGTCCTCTGGGTTCCAGGCTGGCCTGCGCACGCTGCATGACCTTGGGCCTGAGATCCGACGGGCCATCTCTGGAGATCTGACGGCCGAGGAGGAGCTGGACAAGGCAATGAAGGAGGCCGTGTCTGCTGCTTCCGAAGACGACATCTTCAGGGTAGGTGGATGTACAGCAGCACTCTTTTACCTTTTCAAGGTTCAGTTTGTAGGCAAAAGAGGGTGGGCTGTTCTGCCAAGAAAATCCAGGAAAAAACGCCTGAGCTCTGGCAGATTCCAAACCCTTCCCGCTCCGCTGTCTCCTCATCCCTCCATCTTTCTAAGCTGACTCTCTCAACTCCCAGGACAGAGCAGCTCTCAGAGCTTCACTGGCTGGTGGAGAAGGAGGGAGAGAGCCGTCTTCCTAACAGAAATGTTTCCTAGGAGAAACTTTCATATTAGAAGTCACAAAGTGGTGGCCCCTGGGCCATACCCAATCTGCAGACCTGTTTGGTTTGCAGCATTTGAAAATCTGGCACGGTCAAATTAAAATCTAGATTTCTGGCTTTTCTTGAGAAAAAAATCAGAAAATTTGGCAATCTGGGGCTTGCATTTCCACATGGCAACAAAGGGCCAGACCAAGTGGTGGTTGCCCTCTGGAGACGGAGCATGTGCTCTCCAGTTCACACAAGTCCCTTCCACTCCTGCTCTCTGTTCCTGGACCCTGAGGCTGACCACAGAGCTGGAATGCCAGAATTCTCACATCCAGCTCTCTGCACTCATTTGCATGCCTTGCCTAACCCCTAAAGTTATTTGGTGAAAATTCCCCTCTATAGCAAGGAAGAAACTACTGACCGCAATTGTACCGGAGCCCTGTTCACATGTATCCCTCCACCCTCTTCCCCATGCCCAGTTCCTAGGCTACAGAAAAACCAGGGAGGTGAAATAAGCCTCATCCCACCTATGGCTGTCCTCTCATTACCATCCTCATTCTCATCACCATAAGTACTCATCACCGAATGGCCTCAGGGACATGGCACCAGCAGTAATACCATCGGACAGAACCCCAGACAGACTGCCTGGTTTGAAAATGCTCCTTCACCAAATCCTGGGGACAGTCTCACGTCAAGGATTAGAGTGACCTTGCAAATAGCTATCTGCCCACTTGCCCAGGACAAGGAAAGAATGTTGGGGAAAACATTGATTCCTAATCTGAACGCTCTAAGAATCTCCTGGGGAAAAGGAGGCCATAATATAATTGACGTAGTAGAGTCTTCATTCTTATGTTCCAAACTATATGGCCAACACAGTTTAAGCTCTGTGAGCCAGTTGGGTTTCCTTTAAAATCTAGCTAGAATCTTCTGGTTCCTTTTCCCCACCCCTCGGCCCTCACAGTGTTCTCCACCAAACCAAGCAGCTGGCTGCAGTTAAGGATTGCCATCCTAGACTCATCCTTGAAACTCAATTCTAGTCTTCAAGGGATTCATTAGAAACTTTCAGAAACTTCTGGGGCACCTCTTACAGTCAGCAGCCTTCTCGTCTGGCCTGGTTCCCACAGATGTGGTGATCCTGCTGCTTGCCATCCCCCGCAGCTGTTTCAGAGGAAAGGTGTGGTATCGTCAGTGTCTGGGTCCCTCCCTCTCCTGGGCTGCCAAGCCATGCAGATGGAGAATTTCACTATCTGCCATGTGCTTCCTGGTGCAGCTGTGCCTCTCTGGAGGGCAGACAACCTTCCCATGCCCTAGACTTCTCAGACCTGGCTGTTTGAGGCTTCTCCCTCAGAGGAGGAGAGGTAGCTAAGGGGGCATTCTCCTCCACCTACCCCATCCCGTCTTGCCTACAGAGGGCCGGTGGCCTGTTCGGCAACCATGTCAGCTACTACCAAAGTGACAGCCGGAGCACCTTCCCCCAGACCTTCACCACCCAGCGCCCACTGCACATCAACAAGGCGGGTAACAGCCAAGGCGACACCGAGTCGCCTTCCCACGAGAAACTGGTGGACTCCACTTTCACCCCCAGCAGCTACTCGTCCACTGGCTCCAACGCCAACATCAACAATGCCAACAACACTGTCCTGGGCCGCTTCCCCCGCCCCACCGGCTACCCCAGCACAGTCAGCACCGTGGAGGGCCATGGGCCCCCCTTGTCTCCTGCCATCCGGGTGCAGGAGTCAGCATGGAAGCTCAGCTCCAAGAGGTAAGCAGGAGGGTGGGGAAGTCCAGGGCCCATGCATAGGGGCCTCCCACACTCTGGCCAAGAGCAGATGGGTGGAGGAGAGTTTGGCCCCCAGACCTACCATTCACCCCTCAGGCTGGGGATGGAGGCTGCTGTGCTGGACCCCAGAAAGGGAGGTAGGCACTGTGCTACCTCCCAAGTAGTGTCCTTGGTTAAAGGCAGCAGCCACACTCAGGATAAGCCAAGATCCCCATTGACCAGCAGCGTGAAGAGGTGCCACACCTCTGAACACAGCCTCCTCTCCTCTCACTTCCCACCCGAGCAGAGGAACCGTGACCCTCTGAGATGTCTGTATTCTGGCCATACAACAGAAACCATTCCCTCCACCCTTCCCCAAGTCTCTGCCTAGACCTAGCCTTCCCACCGACTGGGATGGGAGTTGCATTACCACCTTTTCTTTATAACCTCCTGGGAGGGGAGGCATTTTAGTGGCAGGTGGCTCTTCTCTGGAACACCCATTCTGCCCCAGTGGAGGATCATTCCTGGTAGTTTAATGGAATCGCCACCTCCTGACTTGCTCTTTTCTCCCCATCCTGCTCCTTGGTACTCTAGGACGCATTGCTATGATGTGCTTGGACGGTAGGTGCTTCCTTCCATGCTCTGGGCCTCAGGAAGTGCAGCCCAGGCCAATGAGGGTCTCATCCTTGTTATATCAGCAGCTCCAGGCTCCCCGAGGGGGTGATGGGAGAGGCCACGCACACCTCTGCATCTTGCCACATCACCCTGAGTTATGCTGCTCTTCCAGAGTAGGACACTTGCTCCAGAGCAGGCTGGACAGGTCCCCAGTATGCCAAGTTCTTGGGAAGATCTCCTTTCCTGCCCTCTAGGTCAACAAAGAACAGAAAAGTGCAAGTTTCTTTCTAAATCCGTAGACAAGTGTCCTGATGCTGCATCTACCCAAGGAGCCAGCATACTTGTCACTTCCCTTCATCACGCCAGTTTTCAAATGGTCACATACGAGCCCACATGGCCTGGGCATTTAAATGACTGATAATGGCAAGTCAAATCAGCTATCCATCCACCTTGCTCTCTTGAAGATTGGCTGGTTTAACCACCCATCAACAGAGCTGGGTTGAGTCTTTCGACTCAGTAGACATATATGGAGATGTATACTGATGCCTTCTGTGAGCAGGGCATTGTGCTCAGCACTGGGCTTTGTTTGCTGATCTGAAAGGCTGACTTTACATAGGAGAATATCAAAGTTTAAGTGGCCTGTCCTAGGGTCCCCATCTCTTTTCTGCAACACTACTCCTCTTCTACAACCTTCAGAGACTAAGTCCTAGTACCATTTTCTCCCCCTCTTGCCATATCAAACCCTCTTCTTAAGGAAGGCTCTTTATGTCCACCATTAACATCTTAGTGTAAATTAAATTACCTCCTTCAAAGGGTATTTTTACGTTAAATTTGGTTCTGTATTAAATATGAAAACCCTATGGAGCACAGTTCTACTCTGATACACATGGGGTTGCCATGAGTCAAGATCGACTCGGTGGCAACTGAGTTGGTTTTTTGGTTTTATATGGGAGAAGACATCAGGAAATTTTCTTCTTCTCATAAATACATCTATGGATGAAATAAAACATATGCAAAGCACCTAGCACAATGCCTGGCACATAGGAAGTGTCACTAAATGTCACTTCCCTTCCTCCCCATGACAGCTGGTTAAAACAACACTCAGGGTGCTAAGCTTCAACTTGGTGAAGAGGAAAAACTTACCAAAGTTCTAGCTCTGGGGCCTTGTTCATGCTGCAGCTAAAGGCTAAGGGCAGTGGCTCCAGCACTGGCATTGCTTCTGCTGGGAATGGGCTGGCACGTTTTGCACACAGTGGTCGCCAAGAAGTGGTGCTGCCTGCCTGCCGCCATTCTCCATCTCTAGCTCATCCCATTGTGCCTCACCAAAGCACCTTCCACATCCCTGTCCTCCCACTCCATCATGAGCCTTCTGTATCTCATCTTTCCTTCGTACCATAGGGCGGACAGCAGTCTGTTAGAGAGCTCTGCCCCTACCCTTCCTGAGTTGCTCACAGACCAGGGTCAAAGCTATGGGCACTGATCCAGCACTCAGCCCAAGAGGGTAAACTGGGATATTTCCCCAATGCCCTCATGGATCTGATGATAGAGTGGGCCCCAGCATGCAGACTCTATAGGAAGAAATATGGTGGGAGGTACTGAGCCAAGCACATACAGAAAAAGGGAGAGCACTTAGACCAGAGCTAAAGGACACATGACTAAATGAGCAGGAGGCCCTGCACAGAAGGGGAAAAGCGTATAGTCTAAGGCACATCCTGATGTGGGAGGGTCTCAAACTCAGAAGGGACTAGGCTTAGCAGGGACTCAGGCTCAGCAGGGGCTCAGGCTCAGGAGGGACTCAGGCTCACTTCCCTTTGCTCAAAAGAACCAACTCTTCTACATGAGGCTTTGTTGTGCCTTTACTTCAAGAAGCCAGTGTCAAACTCAAAGGCATGTCAAAATATGATGCCAGAAACATCTCAGCTCTGTCCAACAAACACCCACAGGCCCGGCTGTCTATAGTAGAGGAAAGGGATAGCCCTCTCACTGGCTCACCCTGCTCTGTATAGCGCAGCCAAGGCTCTTGTTTAAAAGCTGATCCTTTCCATCCTCCAAGGCACCATCTCATTTGTTACTTCATTTGCTACTTACACAAGCCTCTGTGTCAGGCAGGAATATGTCATTCCAATTTTATGGAAGGGGAAATTGAGGCATGGGGTTCGCTAAGCAACTCCAGCATGATTACTTAGCCAGAGAGTAACTGAATTGGATCAAAACTCAGATCTCCTTGAATCTTAACCCAGAGAGCCTTCTCCCACAAAGAGCCCTCACCCTCACCCTCACGCTTCTATGGCTCCATGGCTTCATCAACGATTGCAGGTGGAAGAGGCCACAGCCGGGTGTGTGTGTGAGTGTGTGAGTATGTGTGTGTAAGTGGTGATTGTGTGCGTGAGATGCCTTACTCGTGGAGGGATGGGGGAAGGATTTACAGTTTCTGATTTTTCTCTCCATCTTGGACGTTTAGATGCCGCTCCCGGGAGAGCCAGATAGCCATGATGTGTCAAGAGGAGGTCTCTCAGGAGGAGACCTATGAAGTGAAGTTAAAGGAAGACACAGAGTGCTGCAGCGAGCCCAGCCTGATCTCCACAGAGATGTGAGCGCTGCCACCTTCTGCCCAGGGAATGAAGGGGCAAGTCCCTGAAATTCCCCCTCCGGGCATGATTTGGGGGAGGGGAGGAGATTGAATATCAGGAAAACATCTGCAAAGCATCGTTATGGAGATGGGAAGTCCCTTACCCCACCCCCAGTATTCTTTCTATCTCTCCCCCCACCCCCTTGCATGCTTGGCCCCTCCTTACTGTAAAATGCTTTCAGGGAAGCCTGTAAAACAATGTTTCTTAAACTTTTAAGACAAATATATTTTACAGTGAGGTTCAGTACACACATACTACACATATATGGACAATTAAACGAATGTTACCTGAAACTACTTATGACAAAGCTACCCAGCAGAGGGCACTGTTGGCAAAGCTAGGGCTGAGATTTTTGTCAGCCCTATAATTTGAATTTTCTCATAGGGTTTTATACCTGTAGATCCAGACCCATTAGCAAGTTGTGACATCCATTTCGCCAGTTACAGCCAGCACTTTTAAAAGAATAGCATAAAATAGAATAGAAAAAGGATAGAATAGAATAAGACAGCATAGAAAATATCAGAATACATCCAATGTCATAGAGGTAAGTATTGTTTCATGAAGCATGTGTTTAATTGCCAATACCTGTATGTGTATGCGTGTACTGAGTCTCATTGTAAAATGTATTTATGACTGTGGTTGCAATCCAAAAAGTATAAGAAACACTGTTTTAGAGGCTTTCCTGTAAGCGCTTTATAGTAAGAAAGGACCAACCCTTTAGACTTTTGAAGAAAAGAGAGGTGTGGCTGGAAAGGCAGCCATGGCCAGAAGGCAACGGTGGGGGTGGGCCCCCAGGAAGTGTTAGGAGACATGCGTCCATGTCCCTTCTCAGCACAGCTAGCACAGCATGCAGCTTTCTGGAGTTAGTGCCTTCTTCCTTGGGTTGGAAGAGTAGCAGAGGGGTCTCCTTTCCCCCTGGTGTAATAAGAAGAATCTGTTGTTGTTAGGTGCCATCAGGTCGATTTCAACCCATAGCAACCCTATGGGACAAAGTAGAACTGTCCTATAGGGCTTCCAAGGCTGTAATCTTTATGGAAGCAGACTGCCACATCTTTCTCCCACAGAGCAGCTTGTGGGTTCGAACCACCAACATTTTGGTTAGCAGCCGAGTGCTTAACCACTGCACCACCAGGGCTCCTTTCATGAAATATAGTGGATATAAAACCAAACGAAAATGTCTAAAGTTCCTTAAGAGATAGCATTCGCTAAATTGATTTTTAGAGAATGCAAATTAATACATGGCCACATCTTCTGGAAGTCAGGAGAGTTGTGTGCTTCAATCCATTGCAGCTCTTATTGAGCGCTTGGTGCGTCCAAGGTGCTGGATTGGAAACTCAAGGAGATTTTACAAACTAGTTTGGAAGCTAAGGGGTGCTCAGAAGAGAAAGATAACATGGACCTTTACTAAATAATTATGGACAGAGTGACCCAGACAATGAGGGTTACAGACATTTCAGAGAAAGCCAAGGGCAGGGTGACCATAACAGTACCAGGCACAGGGTCAGACAGAAGTTGTGTCTTCAGGAGTAGGTACAATGTGAATAAGAAAAAATGTAATATGGAGGGCTTACCACGTTGAGAATGAGAGTAAAGGCTTGGAGGCATGAATGTGTGAGGTTTTCATTCAACAAACTTTCCTGCACACCTACAGATGCTAAGCCGTCCCTGTGCTAGGAGCAAGGGTGGATTCCATGAAGGTGAAGGCAGCCAGGTCTCTGCCCTTTGGGAGTGTGTAAAGTAGCCCCAGGGACAGAGTTAGTGGCCTCTTCTGTAAAATAGAGGCGTTGGAATGGAACCATGCTTCCCAGGCTGCAGATTGCTCGCACTATTTGTGAAATTAATTTAGTGGGCTGCACTCAGGACTTTTAAATGAACTAGAACAGACTAAAATAGAATAGAAACTCTCAGAGTGCAATGCATGCAATAAGGGTAAATATATAGTTCACAAAGAATAGTTCAATTGTGTGTATCTGTGTATAGTGGAAATATGTAAAATATATTTCTTATTGTGAGTCATGATCTAAAAGGCTTGGAAGCCTTTGTCTCCATGCTCTCTATGGTCCCTTTCAGCTCTACTGTTCATGGACTGAATGACTGTGTCTGTGTTGCAGGCAACTGCATATGTGCTCTTGATGATAGAGGGGTTGCAGGGCAGAGGAAAATTGCAGGATGGAAGATAAGTTTTAGACTGAAGTAGGAAGTTGCCTTCCAGTTGATTCTGATTCACAGCAACCCATGTGTTCCAGAGTAGACCTGTGTTCCACAGGTTTTCAATGGCTGTGATCTTTCAGAAGTAGATCGCAAGGCCTTTTCTTCCAAGGCTTCTCTGTGTCGGTTCGAACCTCCAGCCTTTCAGTTAACAGCCAAACACTTAGCCATTTGCGCCACCCAGGGACTCCAAGTCAGGGAGTAGTTGTGGTAAACAGCATTGGTATATGTAAACAGAAGAGCCTAGGTTTCCTTGAAAGAACCTTGTGGGCCTAGAATTTTTTGCAACTTTGACCCAAGAGTGCCTCTTCTGCCTCAGATCAGAACCACATGGCTCATACTAGATGGTTTGTGTATAAACCAAAAAAAAACCAAACCCATTGCCTTCAAGTTGATTCTGACTCATAACGACCCTATAGGACAGAGGAGAACTGCCTCAGAAGGTTTCCAAGGAGTGGCTGGTGGGTTTGAACTGCCGACCTTTTGATTAGCAGCCGATTTCTTAACCACTGAACCTCCAGGGCTCCAGTTTGTCTATAGCGAGCTGGAAATCCCCAACAAGCAGGCCAGGAGAACATGTATGATGCCAGAGAGCAGAGCAGAATTTCTTGGGGTGGCAAGAGCCTGCTGCTCCCTCCCTAGCCCTTGTACACAAGCACAGAGTGTGGGCTCCCTGCACTAAGGAAAGAGGCAAACTTCTTCCTGGGGTGGTAGCCGTCCCTATGGGGTGGCACTTCCTTGCCCCCAGGAGCAAGCCCCAGGAGTTCTCTGTTCCAGGCTCTCCTACCAGGATGATGAAAACCGACAACTGACACCCCCAGAGGACAAAAGGGACATCCGGCAATCTCCAAAGAGGGGTTTCCTCCGCTCCGCCTCACTAGGTAAACACTCACACTTCATGCTCCAGGTGTGGCCAGTGGTCACCCCTGAGATGATGCTGGTCAAGGCACTCAGGGATGACTGAGAAACACCTGTGGCCTGGCTCCAACAACTTCCACCCAAGTGGGCTGGGCAGATTTCCAAGGCAATGAGACAAAGTTCCAAGGGCAGGGTTTACTGGAATGGGACTTGGAGTCAAGGCTAAGGGCCAAAGGAAGTATAGCTGGGGTCACTAGCACTACTTCTTACAACCCTACCCCGGGTATGAGCCATTTCAGACAAATGTCCTTGTTTCCTGCCCTGATCCTATTCTTTGGCTGCCTTTGCAGGTCGAAGGGCCTCCTTCCACCTGGAATGTCTGAAGCGACAGAAGAATCAAGGGGGAGACATCTCTCAGAAGACAGTGCTGCCCTTGCATCTGGTTCATCATCAGGTAGCCCATACTTTCAGACAGGCTATTGGCCACCATTTAGCAGGCTGGACAATCCCATGGTTATAGGCAAATCCCCAAGATACCAGTCAGTCTTCACCATCTCAGACTATTGCTGCATCCTACCCCTGGCCCTAAGAATCTCCCAGTAGGGCTGCCCACTTATCCTATTCAGGTGAGAGCCCTGGCACATCTGTAGTTTCCCAGGGTAGAAACTTAGGAGACACTGGTCAGCAGGAACTCCTCACGTGATCCTGAAGGATCAGCAGCTCCGGGATTCCACTCGAGCTTTCTTCTCATAGTGCCCCAGATGTTACCTCTACAGAGACGGGCTTACACTCCAGGGTACTCAGGCAGGAGTGGTCATACCTAGAGTTGGAAGATACCTAGAAGTTTAGCTGCACAAAAATCCATCCACAGAAATGCAGAAATGATCAAACAACCTGCCAGCAGCATGGCCAGGAGTAGGGAGTAATACCCAAGGAAAACAGGTCAAGGGGGATTCAGTAAATGAAATATCTCTTGGCACGGCTGAGTCCGAGATAGTGAAATCCAAGACACCAGTATCAAACACGTTCTTAGTATCTTACAACTAGTGGAAACTTCAAATGTTATTTGAGGGCAGCTTATTACCTCCAGGCAAATTAGGGTCTTTTTGTCTCCTTAATTATAAACTCCTTGTCATGGTTTGAATTATATCCCCCCAAAAATGTGTGTATCAATTTGGCTGGGCCATGATTCCCAGAATTGTGTGGTTGGTCTCCATTCTGTGATTGTAATTTTATGTTAAAGAGGATTAGGGTGGGATTGTAACACCACCCTTACCCAGGTCACATCCCTGATCCAACATAAAGGGAGTTTCCCTAGGGTGTGGCCTGCACCACCTTTTACCTTACAAGAGATGAAAGGAAAGGGAAGCAAGCAGAGAACCGGGGACCTCATACCACCAAGAAAGCAGTGCCAGGAGCAGAGCGTGTCCTTTGGACCCGGGGTCCCTGGGTGGAGAACCTCCTAGTCCAGAGGAACATTGATGAGAAGGCCTACAAAGAGAGAAAGGCTTTCCCTGGAGCTGATGCCCTGAATTTGGATTGTTAGCCTACTTTACTCTGAAGAAATAAATTTCTCTTTGTTAAAGCCATCCACTCATGGTATTTCTGTTGTAGCAGCACTAGATGACTAAGACACTCCTGTACCATGGACCTGTGCTTTAAATGACTGTTTTATACCCAAAAACATTCAACTGCCAATCAAAGCTTATAATCGGCATAAGACAGGCAGTGTGGCTCAGCTAAGTGGATATTATTTTCAGCTCAGAGAAATGCACTGTTTTGCTTTGCTTGTGTGTATTCCCTCAATGTGGATGATTTCCACTGGACTTTCTGAAATATTGAATATAGCCTACAAACTGCCCTCTTAAATCCCCCTCAGATCTCCAGGGACACAGGAGCCCCCAGGCTGGGGCCATCAAGAGCAGTGGGCTGAGGAGGATGGCAGGATGTAGGAACATCAGATGTGCCATTTTCAAAGATTTCTAGAAATGGATTTTACCATTCTGCTCTTGTCCTGCTAGTAGGCAAGAAATTCTTCTTTATTTCTATACTCTTCCTTATGCCTTTCCACTACCCTCTAACCTATACAGCAGTGTCCCTGTTCTCTCTGCCACCTCTTGGGAAAGCCTAACTTTCTCTGCCCATGAGCACTTCACATTGGAGCATCTAATGTTCCTGAGCCTCTGCCAAGAGCAAACCTTTATGTCAGCCGAGATGTAGGACATGATCCCTGCCTGCCTTCAGGATGCTCAAGAACATTTTGGGGCAGAGGACATAAACATGTATATTGTTTAATTTCAAGACAGTATATGATTTCATTGATGGTTCAGAATAATCTGAGCTAGAAATTCACAGGACATTATTAATGGGCCAATTCATTATAACAGTTAAAACAACAGATCCTGGCTTCGTCTAGCTCTTTATTGTTGTTGTTGTTACTAGGTGCCATGAGTCAGTTCTGACTCGTGGCAACCCCGTGCACAACAGAACAAAACATTGCCCGGTCCTGTGCCATCCTCACAACCGTTGCTATGTTTGCCTGGCTCTTTAGGAAGTACTTTTTCACATACCTTATTTCATTTGAACCTACGTTTACCCTGCAAGGTAGATAGAGAAGGCATTCGTTTTCTGATTTTACAGGTGACACAGGCCTCGTTATTCTCTATACTCTACTGATGAGAAAACCAAGACTGAGAGAATGCATAGGCAGTAACCAAAAACCAAACCAGACCCACTGCCGTCGAGTCAATTACAACTCATAGCGACCCTGTAGGACAGACTAGAATTGCCCCATGAGGTTTTCAAGGCTGTAAATCTTTATGGAATCAGACTGCCCCATCTTTCTCCCGCGGAGCAGCCGGTGGGTTCAAACCACTGACCTTTTGGTTAGCAGCCAGGCACTTTAGCCACTGCGCCACCAGGGCCCCTTATAGATAGTAAAACCAGCAGTAAAGCCCAGATTATCTTGATTCCACTCAATCACAGTTTTCTGAATGTAGAAGAGGGAAGTTACTTCAGACTAGGATGATCATAAAACTTATTCTGGGGTCATTGAAACTTATGCTGGGTCTTGATAAGGTAGCATTCAATTGGGTGGTAATGTTTGGGGGGTGGGTGTGAATTCCAGGAGGAACTAGCTGGAGAACAATAGCTGCTTAGAAGGCAGAGGGCTGCCTCTCTGCCGACCTGGCCATCACCCCCAGTAAATCATGCTTTTGTGTGTCCACAGGCATTGGCAGTGGCGGGTCTGAGCCCACTTCTCCAGAGAAGCCATTCCCCCACCACGTTCCCCAGGCCGTGTGCCACCCCCCCTGCCTCGCCCGGCCGAGGCTGGCCCCCGCAGCCCATCCCCACCCTACGGCTGGAGGGCGCTGAGTCCATCGAGAAACTCAACAGCAGCTTCCCATCCATCCACTGCAGCTCCTGGTCGGGGGAGAGTCCCAGCTGTGGTGGGGGCGGCAGCCCCATCCGGAGAAGCCGGCCTGTCTCCCTCACTGTGCCCAGCCAGGCCAGGGCCCCGGGGAGGCAGTTCCACGGCAGCGCCAGCAGTCTGGTCGAAGCGGTACGTGGCTCCCAGCAGACGGGAGGGAAAGGCCAAGGGCAGCAAAGGGGCTTTGCGTGGAGAATTAAGAAGGAAGTACCTGGTCCTTTCCCTCACAGATTGGCAGTCAAGTATCATAGCCAGAAAGATACTCACTCTCAGGGCCTGCAGAAGGCAGGCGTGGCATGCAGAATATTATGACATGCAAGGTGTTATTGACTTCTGTTGGGGCAGGGCCTGATGAAGAAGGAGAAGGAAGGTACTGAGCAATATATCCCCGCTACAGACCAAGGAACCCTGAGAAAGGCTGTGGGGTCCATTGTAGAGAAAGTTGATACAAGCCAGCAGTGCTGTGACTACTCCAAATCAAATGTGAGCTTGGGCTGCATTTGTAGACAGAGAGGGTCGAGATCCATGATTCTCAGCCCTGATTGTTCCTTAGAATCATGCAGGGAGCTTTGGAAAACTGTGACCAGTTAAACTGGGATGTCTTTTAAAGCTCTTCAGATGAGTCCAATGCACAGCCAGGGTGAAGAACCACTAGTCTAGGAGAAGAAGCTTTCAATTCCCCTGTACCCTGCCCTGGTCAGAGAATCAAGTTCAACCCTGGTGCCACATTTGAGAGGGTCACTATGAGTCGGAATCAACTTGACGGCAACAGGCTTTTGACAAACTAGAACAAATCCAAAGGAGGAAACCATATCCTGTAAGAATTGATGCAGGGGAGGAGACATCTGGGAGAAGCATGTTCCAGGCTACCCTGCATTCTTCCTGCAGCCTTCCCCCCTTGGATCAGTAGCCAATCATTAAAGCAGCTGGTAGGAGGAGTGGGGAGACTTTGAGGATCACCTGCTGTCCCTTCCGAGCAGAAACAGAGACAGGTGCATGGAAGGATGCTGCACCTGGGAGAAAGATTCTCCCTCCCAGAGAGGCAGCCAGCTGACTGTGGGCAATGGGCACGAGTTAACAGTTTCGCCAAAGGAGAGTGAAGGTTTCCGGGAGAGAATAATATGGGAGGCACCTGTGTGGTGCCAGGGAGGCAGAAGGGGAAGGGGCAGACCGGGGTCTCCATGTCACAACACGGCAGAGCCCTACTGCCCCTCTGTGAGCCAAGCTTTTCTATATTTGATGACAGTTTTCAAATACCCCAGCCAAAACTTTTCTCATCTGACCTAAAACCAAAAAACCAGTTGCTGTCTATTGCCTCCAACTCATGGTAATCCCATGTGTGTTACAGTAGAGCTGTGCTCCGTAGGGTTTTCAGTGGTTGATTTTTTGGAAGTAGATCACCAGGCCTTTCTTCCAAGATACCTCTGGGTGACTCAGACCTCCAACCTTTCGGTTAGCAGTCAAGCACATTAACCATTTGCACCATGCGGGGACACCATCCTCCAGCCTACACACCCCTAATTCCTTTGGCCAATGTTCCATCTCTACTCCTTTTCTGTGAGCACCCCTCCCAACACACACACCACACCTACAACACACACACACCATACACCACACATACGCTCACACCACACCTACCACACACACACCATATACCACACACACACGCGACACATAACACCCCACACCCCACATATACCGTATACCACACACATGTACGCCACACGTACCACACACACACCACACACACAAAAGACCCCATACCACACACACCTTATGCCACATACCACACATACTATACACACCACACGTATACACACACTTCCAGAAGTTACCAGTCAGAAGCCCCATATTCTAGCCCTAAAGAGAGGCATTGAGCTCCAGTAATAATTTTCCTCTTTGCTTCTTCTTCACGGCCCTCCACCCCCTCCCTCTTCAGGTCTTGATTTCAGAAGGACTGGGGCAGTTTGCTCAAGATCCCAAGTTTATCGAGGTCACAACCCAGGAGCTGGCTGATGCCTGCGACATGACAATTGAGGAGATGGAGAATGCGGCTGACAACATCCTCAGTGGGGGCACCCAGCAGAGCCCCAATGGCACCCTATTACCTTTTGTTAACTGCAGGGACCCAGGGCAGGACAGGGCAGGGGGTGAAGAGGATGCAACCTGTGGGCCTGCCCTGGAGTGTCGAAAGAGTGAGGAGGAACTCCAGGACAGCAGGGTCTACGTCAGCAGCCTGTAGTAGCCAGGGCTGGGGAGATGCTGGGTTTTTTATTTGTTTCAATGTTCCTAATGGGTTCGTTTCAGAAGTGCCTCACTGTTCTCGTGACCTGGAGTTAACCGGAACAGCGTCTTCATTCATTTCTGTTGGGACAAGACGCAGAGTTGGGTGGTGTGGAGAGCCAGCTTTTCAAGGGGAAGAAAAGCAGCAACCCCAGTTTGTGTCTGCAGAGGTAGAGTGGTGAGGAGGAGGTGGCAGAATCAGGGAGGGAGAGCAAGAGAAGAGACGTCCGCCCTCCTGCTGTATTTCAGGCCCTGCACGGGGAACCAACGGTCGCCTTTGGGCATGAAAGAGAACCTCAGCTTCCTGCGGTAGCCCTCACCAAAAGGACCCTATATCAAACGGGTGTCTTTCAACTTTGCTTGTAAAAAAAAAAAAAAAAAAAAATCATTTTGCACATATTCTGTATGAGCCTCACTGTCTCCATAGAGCCAGGGCCCTGTGAATTTGGAGAATGACTTCTGTGGGGGATCCCAGCCCTACCCCTGAGAGGGAGGAGAAGTGGCCAGAGGCGGCTGGAGCTCCTGGAGACGGGAGCGGAGGGCGAGGGGCACGTGGCAGCATCGCAGCTTCTTACCCAGACCCTGGGCACAGTGGCAGCAGCCCCGACCACCTCCGCCCACCGGAGTCAGGGTCTCTTCACCTGCATAAGCCACGCCGAGCTCCAAAACAGCAGCTGGGTCACAGCCAGGGCGTGGAAGGAGCTGGCACGGCCGCCAGTGAAGGGGCAGCCAGCTCTTGACAAAACGAGGTGGTGCTGAGCTGCTGCTGAGTGCTCTTTCGTTTTCTGGTTTGACATTTTTCTTGACAGCATGTTGCAGTTTTTGTTTTTCGGGTTTTTTTTGTTTCGTTTCGTTTTAATTTTGTTTTCCCGGGGGAGGGGAGGAAGAAGAGTGTTTACAAAGTTTTGTAGCCACCCACCTTACTGTTTTCACTTTTGCAAATGTAAATCAGGTTTGGTTTTATTGTATTATTTAAATGGTTGTGGCTTCCTTTTTTTCCACAGAGGGTTCGGGCAATCGAAGCCATTGTAGGAGCGTTTTACCAGCCGTTGTGTATGCCCAATAATTTGTTACAATTTCCTTAGGTAGTAACACATCTTTTTGTTGTTGGTTGGTTTGGTTTGGTTTCATAATTTAAAGGTAATAGGTAATGTACTTGATATGGTCTTGCACATATGGGTGACTGAGTTGGGTTCCTTTTAATGCTGGGTGTGTTGGTGGGTGCCAGAGAGAGGAAGCATGTATGAGAGAGCGTGCCTCTGTGCGTGTGTGCGTGTGTGCGTGTGTGCGTGCATGCAGGTTTGTGTGTGTGTATAGTGGACTGGCTGCGTGCATATGTTGTATGTGTGTATATGCACCCACACAGTGTGCCCATGCACACAAATGCATACGCAGTTCCCCCTTTCTGCTTTAACTGTGGGGAGATCTGAATCTGGGGCCATTTGAAAGCAAAAACAAACCACTGTCTCTGCTTCTGAAACAGGAATCAGTAACTCTTTGCATTTTCTGTCCCACAAGATATGCAAAAACAATGCAATAATATTCATTTTAAAAATACAATTGTGAGTTGTGTTGGCATTAAAACTGTATTTAAAAAAACACGCAGAAATTTAAAGGAAAAACTCAAGAAGGCGTTTTGCTTCGATATATTCCGTGTAATGTTCTATTGCATTGATAATGTTTCTGTTGAAGAAACTGTTATACTTGAATTCAGGTCAGTTTCAGTATTTTTCAAATATTTTTTTAAAACTGAATTGCAATTGTGCCAAGCGAATATAATGAATTAAGTTTGTTTTTGAATTCACTTCTTGTATATTTTGCTGCATGTAAAGTAAATCATTTTGTATTTGGAGTGTGACAAGCTTTACCTTTGAACTCTTAAGTGCTTTTCTATATGTGGTCGGGGGAAAGGGAAAGATTTCTCTTTTACTTTGTACAATGAGCAAAGGTATCACCAGTGTTGTCATTATCCTACTATCCACAAACAGGTTTGGACATTACTGTTTTGCATATCTTGTGTTCACTTCCATTTCCCTCAATTTTTCCAAAATCGTGTAGTAAGTATATTCATACCACATATTGCTTTGAGTGACCAGGACATACTTTATTCTGGTCTTTACTTTTTCCACTCTGCTCCGGTTCTCTGCTTTGGTATTTCTCCAAGAACAGCCCTTCACTATGAGATATAACAAGGCATTCTGATCAGTCTCTTTAGGCCCTGGGCTGGTGTCAGCATCCCCCACAGAAGGGGTGGCTAACTTTTCTGTTCTCCCCCATAGCACAAACCTTCCTCATTTGTTTCTTTAGTAGACACTGACTGAGAGGATGGAATCAGGGTCAGAAGGGTTGGAGGGGAGGAGAATCCTCACTTCTGGCAACTGTTCTACGCAAACTCAGGTGGTAAGGGCTAGAGAAAAGCAACTTGGCCAAAACCTTGTCCATCCAAAAGTCAACTCTCTATCTGGCTCATTTCTCCATCCTTTCCTCACTCCAGTGCAGGATTTCCTCCAGACCTACCCTTACCGTGTGTGTGGCAGCCGCAGAAGGAAGGGGCCAGGACCGGGGAGGAAACATTGGCGTTTACATTGATGTGGGAATGTATCTTACGCCCTTTTGCATCTACCTAGAACATCACCTGATTGGTGCTGTTTCCCTCAAATGTATTTTAACAATGATAGTTGGAGAAGTACTGGTCTGGGGAGAGTAGTACCCAACCATTCAATCGGAATTTACTCACTGAGTCTCTTCTGGTCCCAGTGTTCCCTCAGCCCTTAGAGGAGCCTTTGGCATTTACATGAGCAAGCTAGAAATTAAAATAGAGAAAATCCCATTCCTCAGTGAAGATGAGTTCTACTTTCATGGAATGACTCATGCAAAAACTGAGAAATGTGCTGGATAGTCCCGGGTGAACTTAGAGTCTAGAAGCAAAGGCGTTTTTTCATGTTTCTCCAGATCCAACCCATCCAGACTTTCTTGGTTCCTTTTCAGTTGTATCCAGGTCTTCCAGAAATCAAGTTTGGGTGGCATCCTCTGTCCAATTTCCTAAAATTTCTGCTGCTGTGCTGCTAAGATTTTAGTTATTTATTGAAAGGAGAACCCTTTGGAGTTGATATCTGGTTCTTGCTATACGTTTGGCCCCTAGATAGAAATTTGGACTCTTGATTGACCCTACACACACACACACACACACACACACACACACACACACACACATACACACACATACACTCAACCTTTTCATGTCACCTTCTGTTTTCCTTTTGAAACTTTAATCTGCATCACTAAGTCTTATTGGCCAGTGGCATGGGCTATAAGACTGAGTTCATGCCAGCTACTCCCAGGACATGTTCCCCATACGGTCCCCTAGCCCTTCACCATCACACCCACAGGCTCCCTTCTTTATAGTCAACAGTATCCAGAAGACCAGAGTAGCCTTCCTTCCTGCACCCTACAATAATGGTGCCAGCAGTCACAAGGGACACCTTGACTCATGCTGCTGTAAAAGGAAGGAAGTTCAGATAAGAGTTCCCTTTCTAGGGCAATGGGTCTTTCTTAGCCTGACCTCATGATCAATTAGTATAAAGCTGACATGTGATACCTGTGATCATGACAGACTGGTAAAATCAGTAGTGAAATCAATGAACCTCACTCCACAGTGTACTAAGTGATGTTTACTCTCCACCTAAAATAGAAATTTCCCTATGACCTTGTAAAACATAATTATCCAACCTTCTCTATCCCTTCCAACAACCCCAGAGTGGCAGGAAAAAAGCAGCAAATGGCTAAGGACCAAGGACTTGAAGAAGGGCACTTTAAGTCCTGCGGTTGGTAAACTTCGTTTTTATTTGTCCTCTGACTGATCCTGCCTGTTTGATTTCTAAATAATCTCTAAATAATTATCTTTAAATAATTATCTTTAAATAATTATCTTTAAATAATAATCCATGATCTTTAAATAATTATCCATGTTCATGGCTACTTTAAGCAGAAATATCCCCATCTGTCTCCTATCTACTTGTTCCCGGAAGGTTCTTTGGGTCTTGATGCAAAAAGGGGAGACATTTTCCCTAGATTTTGGCTTGATACATGAATTTCCCCCTGCTTTAAATCAGAAATCACCTTAGTTATAGCCCCCCTTCTCCCATCTTCTCAAACTGACAGGCTTCTCTCTGTGAAATCCAGGGACAAAGGAACCAGGCTTCCTTACTCTGTTTATCCTCCTCTGTCTCCCTGATTCCAAATATCAAGTGCTTGTCTGGAATGAAGCTGCTATCACTTCCTCACAGACATTCTCCTTCCAGAACTTCTCCTGACCATCCAGTTGAAGATAGCAGGGCAACCACAGGAGAAACCTACTGTTCTATGCGAAAGTGCTGAGAAATAAGAGCACCCTGAAAAATGAGTTTGGAAGTCGTCAAAAGGATGACAGTGGTTTTACAGAGACCAGTTGATACACACCTATCACCCCTTGTTGTTAGCTGCCATCAAGTTGATTCTGATTCATGGTGACCCCATTGTGCAGAGTAGAACTGATCCATAGGGTTTTCAAGGCTGTGTGACCTTTCTGAGGCAGATCACCAGGTCTTTCTTCTGAGGCACTTCTGGGTGAGTTCAAACTGCCAACCTTTCGGATCACAGTTGAGCACTTAACTGTTTGCCCCTCCCAGACACTACACCATCACTCCTAATGGCAGATAAATACAGCAGAAACTTAGGTTAGGCATAGAGTAGAACCCTAATGTCAGGGTTTTTACCCTCATCAAACCATAATTATAAATGTTGCTAAGGAGGATGATGGCATCTCCATTCCTAGAGGCCTAGAAGAAGTGAATTATCACTGTCAAGAAGTTTAGCAAAGAGACCAAGGAAAGGGCAATTTGACTTCAAGAAGACCCCCTTTAATTCCCAGGGGAGTCAAAATTTGCTGACAGAATCTGGACCAATTCTCTTTTTCAAAGA